ATGACATCGGCGACGGGCAGCGCCCTCGCCCAGGAACCGCCCCGGGGACTGGAAATGCCACTCCAGGGGTGGCACCGCGGTCAGGACAAGTTTCCTGTGGCCCGAAATGTAGGGGTCCTGACACCGACACTCGTTTATATATTTAACCAGCCTTTCCTCCCTTGCCTTAAATAAGTTTATGCAGACAATGGAAAACCAGCCTCCCGGGTGACTGACTGGGTTTCTAAATGCAACCCTGAAAGTTTTGCGTGGGGTGGTCATTTGCTTATGCATGTGTATTAACCTCTTAACTCCGGCTAGGCAGAACACTGACATGTAAAATATTCTTTGAGGAACATTACAAGTTTGCTGTCGCGTTCAGGCATCGTGTTATTTAGCAGCTTGGTTGGCTTGTGCCTTCCCCCGAAGTGCTGCCAAGGTCCCTCGGCGACGGGTCTTGCATGTGACACTCTTGCCCTCTAGTGCCTCGGCAGCTTGGTAGCAGTTTGATGGCTAATATTAATAAGATGTTACATAACACAAGAGCACTGGGCCAGGACTGGTGTTGCTGCCACTTGTAAGCCAAAAAGCCTGAGCCGTTGATAGCGGATGCTCCTGTTCCGGTGTCTTTTCCATCCATTGAAACTTTCTCCAGCACTTCCAGCTCTTTGACCTGTATTTCCAGGTAAGTGCATGTATTTATTTACACTATACCTTAATGCCTCACTCAAAATGTAAGAGCTCCCAGTAAGAGATAGCAACTTTGTTTCCAATTAATCTAAGGATTCCAGGATTGCACAAGTGCCTCATTTTGTTCTTGAAGAAGAAACAGAGCATTTTGATTAAGTGAAACAAAGGACTGTCGCACTTAGGGATAATTGTAAAGCTTCTCTTTCATAAGAGTAAGGTATTAAGGAGATGACCCCTGGTCGTTCTTTAAGATTTTCACCAACAACTTAGAATTATGTTGCAGTACCTTTGTTAAACTGATCATGTCTGCTGCCTTGACAGAATTTCGTAAGCAACATCAGAGGTTTAAACTAAACCAGCTGCCTATCTGTACAGTACTGATACTCAAAAAGCTTTCTATTTAGTACAGTTTATTTTATAAATGTTATTTAAAATTATACAATTAATAAATTTAAATGTAACTGCAAAGAAATAATCAGCCTAAGTATTGACTTCTGAAGCTTTAAATGAAAAGAAAATAGATATATCTTCTGTTTAATATATCCACTTTGGTAAGGGGAACAGGGAAGAACCAAGTTACATGCTTTAAGGGGTTTACCCAGATCCTTTTCCAAGCAGTTTTCTAATAGCTGGACACAGTTTAAATTCCAAAGTCTTTTATAGAAACATATTTAATTTGGAAGAGTTTTGAAGAAAACACGTCTAAAAACATAAACACATTAATATTAGATGAAAATACAAATCAAATATTGAGATGTGTTAAACTAATCTCAGATCCATTCTCTGTCTTCTTTTTTTTTTGCCCCTAGAAAATATTATATTATCAACTATTGAACAATGTTTTTCACCACAAGAGAGCAGGATATGGAAAAGAAACTCTCAGATATCTGATCTTCTGCTAAGGAGATATTTTTTTTTTCTTTTTCTTCATTCATAGTTTCCTATAAATATTATACCTGAGGAGACTTCAAAAATAAATTTGAGAGATACTTCTTTTTAAAATAGTCCTGAACATATAAAGAGGCTTGCCCTAACAGTGGCTCTTTTTTTCTTTCTCTGGTTAACACAGTATCTATCATCTCTGTGATATTGTTTTTCCTTATGGTCTTGATGGTAAAATAGAATACTTCTTTCTTTGTGTAAACATGTGTTCATTTTAAACTGGTCACATGAGTTAATTTCCCTCACAGTCTTTCAGATGAAGGATTCTCACATTACTAAAATGTTGTAGATAAAACAAAACTTTTATCTCTTTGTAGAGATATTTGTTATAATTTAGTTTTGTTGCATTATAGTATACCTTCTTTTTAAATACATAGTCTCGAGAAAAGTAATGTTTCTAAACTTTGCAGCAAATATTAATATTAGGTGTAACTGAAAAAATTTTTTAAAATATATATCGTGGAAGAGATAATTAGGCATTTGGGCTTCCTTTTCTGGGCAATATATTCTCTAAAGAAGGTATTATGAGCTAGAATATAAATATTTAAAAGTTGACTTGTAATTTCAAAATTTTAAAACCATAAAGAAATAGCAAAATTACCTTTTAAGCCAGGGAATCTGTTTATATGACTTCTTTGAAACCTGGTTGAGTCTCAGCTACTCTTTGGTAATTAGGGTCAACTTTTAAACTGAAATGTGAATTTGTTGAGGAATAATATATATTTTTAAAAACTGTATTCAAATACTTTGTGATTTCTATATCCTATAAAATAAAAAAATAGCACTAGGTATAAAAACACTATTCTCAACCAAGTGAATGACTTGGCTTTCTAATTGTTTAACAGTTTAGACAGTAGGGAAAAAGACAGTAGAAGTTTACTTTCCCTGTGCTGTGTTTATTAAAAATGAGCATTCACACTGAATTGCACGAACTCTGAACACCCATCCAGATTAGGGAATGCTGCCAAGCCAGGAAAGTAACAGCCTACATTATAATGATAATTAGTCTGAACAATGCTCAAAATTATTTTTACTTAAGTTTCTCTTAGAATAGCAAAGGATTTGCTTTAGAATTTGTTAGTTTGTCTGTGTGTTTGTGTTTAATAAAAACTATATCCTTAGGCACCTGGATATCACAGTGAGTGATTTATCCTTTTATGTTACTCTAAACATTTTTCCATCAATTTCAAGTTACATGACATTAAAAAAAAGTAATCAGGTCCAACTACAAGTAATTAATGTCTATAATAAATCATTTTACGAAAACTCCTACAAATTACTGGAGGCTATAACTCTTACGTACCTGTTGCCAAACAAGGGCTTAAAAATCAAATATTACTGTTCTATCCTAAAACCTTTCAGCATCTCAATGATGTGTATCCATTTAATATATATTACATTTTTACATCTTTTTGTTTGATTACAATGTTTGAAACAAACATGAAAGCAGACCTGTATTCTGGGTCTGGCTCTGTCAGAAGAGGAGTGGCCTTGGACAGCTTTCTTGCTAACTTAGTTTTCTCACCTGTAAAATGAGGATCCCAGAGACCCTTTCCTATCCTGTTTGTTGTCCAACATTGTAGAACTTGTTTTGAAGGATAGGACAAATGCACATGAAAAGCACTACAGAATAGTACAAAGCTTAAATGAATGATGCGTACTATTTCTTAGCTTTTTACTAACAGAGATGTAAGTTCTTAAAATAACAGTTAACATTCAGAATAGTTGCCTTGTATCAGGCACTGTTCTAAATATGTATTAATTTTTAGCTCAGGCAATCTTCACAAAGACTATTTGAGGCAAATACTATTCCCACTTTACAAATGAAGAAATTGAGGCACTGAGAGGTTACCTGCCTGCCTAAAATCATATCCCTGGCACATGGTGGAGCTGATTCAGTTTGAGTCTGACTCCAATGCACATTGCTTTACTATATTACATTGTCTCTGTAGGTTTTCAAATATCTGTGCTAATATGCCTCTTGATACTACAGAAGCAATCTATTATAATCCACTTACCACTCCAACCATTTCTACTACTTCCACCCTTACATATGAAGTAATCATCCACTCACCCAAGAGGTATTTACTAAGCACCTACTTTTGCCAGGCATAGAGCAGTACCCAGAACTATTAATCGTGGTACCTTCTTTAATGAAGTATATTCAGTCTGATTTACGTGATTTCTTTTTCCTCTCCTGTTACTTCAACTGGTTTGATATTTCTTCATTGCTCCTTTCTTTTCTTTTTGCATCACCTTTTCTCTGCAGATTGTCTGCCTTTTCTTCTCTGGTTCATGTCAGTTGCCCAAAAATATAGCCAACAACTGATCTTTAAATTTACATCCTATGGTCCAGGAAGCCAGTGAGAGATCATGCTAATACTGTGGGGTGAGTTTTCTTCTCTTGCCTCACTGGGTGGTACAACATTGAGGGAGGTGAACAGAAAGTGTTCTTTCTTTCATAATTTCTAAATACAAAGATGGAGGGAGCATTACAATAGAAAGTCATTTGCCATTTAATGTACCAAACAAAGCTGATGCCCCAAGTGCAGCTTTTCTCCCATCTATCTTTTAAAAGCCACAGTTCTAAAGACAGAGTGTATTCTTGGTTGTACTCCATGCAAATGAGCTTCTCACTTGCCTACCACAGCAGGGTTCAATTAACATGACACAATTTCACACTTTCTTTCCCAAAGAAAAGAATGTTCTTTGTCAATTTTTAATATTACTAAATTACTTTTAGTAAATTCATGTAATATATTTGAGCCTTCCAAATGCCTTTTTCAGCACCATAAAATATAGTTTTATAGTTCATTCCTTTCTGAGACAGAGGAATATTGTCAAGATCTTTTAAATATCTTTCATTTATGTTAGAACCTGAAGCTCTTTAGTTATTAATACTCATTTTCCAGATGGTAATCTTTTTTCACATTTTTTGTACTGCCAACTTTAACATAATTCTATTTCATTTAGAAATTGATTTTTACTTGCGGATGATGGTGGGTGTTAGTGGAAGAGAAAAGTTGGGTTACATTGACAAGTAGGCACTTCCTCTTGCAGGTACTACAAAACTTTGTGAAATGTATGTTTGTGTGTGTTTGGTTCCTCACTATGCGGATGGAATTGTCTTTGATTCCAAAAGCTAATTGATCCCTCTGCCGTTTGTTAATGTAAATAGATAATTGTTATATTAGAAAAAATTATTTTAGATAATTGCTAATGTTTCCTTGGTGGAGTCTTTTTAAAAATAGATGCATTGCAAAGAGACTCTATTCACACTGAATTCTGAAAAATTTCAAAATGGGAAAAATAAGTAGTTGAGTAAAATCCAGTGAAAAGCACATCCCAGATATACCTGATTTATGGCTCTGATCAAGCTGGTCACTGCCATTCACATTGTTTATATTATCGTTTTGACTGTTTGAGGTTAATGTGAGTGATGGAGGTATCCATTCATGGAAGATGGTTCAACTTTAGTACTGCCCTTGTTTGTGAATACAGCTGCTATTTGTAACACTTAATAGAGCCCTTTTTAAAAACTCATTCAACAAGTATTCAGTAGGCTGTTCTTACTTTAAGCCCTGTGTTAGACCTCAGTAATATAGAGGTAAACAAGATGCTTTCAGTCTATGGAGAAAATTCATACACAGAAACTTTCCTAACTAATTTTGACTCTGGAACATGTTACAAAGGTAGGGTGGAGAGTGATGTGAAAAGGTGTAACAGGGAGACCTGACAGATCAGGGGCTTCAGGGAAGATTTTCTGAGAAAGGTACATTTATACCTGGAAGCATAGGACTTAGAGGTTGAAGCCAGATGGAAAGTGGGGAGAAAACTTCCAGGCAAAGGGAACAGCATGTGGGAAGTCCTGAGACATAAAAGAGACCGTCCCTTTTGGGGAACTGAAAGAGGACCCATTTGCCTGAAACTTAGAGGGGAGTACATCATCTAACCAGGACTGAGACATACAAGTGAGAAGCTTACTATACAGGGTCTTGTGGGATATGTAAAGGAATTTGACTTTCACTCAGCAAGTAAAATAAACAGCCATTG